GCAACAGCGGACATCAGTGATCCGGCTGTATCATAACAGAGGCCTTGGGCCGGCATTCACCCTCAGCCGCATCTGATCCTTGGCTCACGGCAGAGGGTGAAAAAGGAAGTGTCGCGCCCACCCAGTGGGTTTACAGCCTCGGGCCGTGCGCATTAAGACAAGGACCTATACCAAGTCACGCTGAAGTGCCTCTCAAGCAGCTACAGAGATCGGGGAATTCGACGAGCATGATAGCAACTTACGCACCAGTCATGGGATACCATTTGGACATGTCGCACATACGTTGCGATGATAGGCCGCCACCACAGTGCCTGCCGACGTGCACATCCACGAATACATCCAGTTATGAAGACTGAAGAGGTTCAGATATTACAATCGAGCACCCCCCAACACGTACTCCACAGCTATCACACCCAAGCTCCTCTTTGCATAATATGAACCCCACGAAATCCTTTCGGCGATGTTCGATGAAACCTACCAGTCCGAGTACGAATACGCAGAAGTCAGCTGGGCAGGCGGACTGAGGAAAGGACAGCTCGACGAATTCGCTCAAGCGGTCCACCGGCTGTCACCTTACTATTGGAAAGCAGCATCCGAAGCAAATGGTTTTGTTGCAGGGAACAACACCCTAGTGGGAGATGGCCTGGAGTACAAAAACGAATTCAAAGCCTATCCGGTGAAGGATGGACCACGAACTGTGGTCATCCGTCGGCGCCTGCAAACACCTCTGAAGCAGCTTAGGCACAGAGCCGCCTGCCGCAGCAGTCACTTTAAAGCATTGTGGACCCGTATAGGGGGGGGAGACCTTCTACCTATATGAAGGGCCCAGACACCTTCTTGGATAGGAATTTGTTCTACCTATATGAAGGGCTTGGAAGCCTCTTGGACAGGAATTTGTTCTACCTATATGAAGGGCCCAGAGATCCTCTATAAGCCTCTTGGACAGGAATTTGTTCTACCTATATGAAGGGCCCAGAGACCTCTATAGGCCTCTTGGGCAGAATTTGTTCTACCTATATGAAGGGCTTGTAAGCCTCTTAGACGGCAGTTTGTTCTACCTATATGAAGGGCCCAGAAACCTCTAGAAGCCTCTTGGACAGGAATTTGTTCTACCTATACGAAGGGCCTAGTCTTGGACAGGAATTTGTTCTACCTATATGAACGGCCCAGAGACCTCTAGAAGCCTCTTGGACAGGAAGTTGTTCTACCTGTTTGAAGGGCTTAGAAGCCTCTTGGACAGGAATTTGTTCTACCTATATGAAAGGCTTGGAAGCCTCTTGGACAGGAATTTGTTCTACCTATATGAAGGGCCTAGAGACTTCTAGAAGCCTCTTGGACAGAAATTTGTTCTACCTATATGAATGTCGCACACACAGTACGATGATAGGCCGCCACAGTGCCTGCCGACATGCACATCCGCGAATACAGTTTGAGCCTTCGCCTGCAGCAGCAGTCACTCTAAAGCTTTGTGAACCCGGGCAGAGACCAGCCACCTCGATTTCCACGAAGCGATGGGAGGTCGTACCGAGACGACGCCGACGAGCTCAGCAAGCCGCTCCATGCAATCAAGAAGCTCCATGCAGCCCCTTATCACTTGCTACAGTCTGAAAGCTGACATGCAACTCAGGCTGGAGCAGCGACGACGCCTGGATCGGCCACGCCTTCGGCACAACGACACGCGCGCTGAAGATACGCCCAGTCTGGTTACGTGAAATACTTGGAGGCACAGATCCCGAGCGTTGAGGCACGCGACGTCCTAGCTCCAGCCGTGATCGGACGCCTGACGGCAGGTGCAAAAACAGTGGAGCTTCGCAGCAAGCCGTGTCCGCCGGACCGCGTAGGATGCAAGATCAGCTTGATGGAGACAGGGACCAAGCTCATCAGGGGAACCGCCATCTTGGCAGAATCCCGTGGCCTTACTGTCGAGGAGCAGATCACTTTCGCCGGCATCCTGCAGGCGCACCGCTCGGTACATCAAACACGGAGCACCCAAACTGGTTCGCAGGCATTGAACTACGAGGCCAAGCAGACCTATGCGTGGGTTTTGCGGGACGTGCAGGTCCACCCGGAACCGTTCGAGGCGAGTGCCGCAGCTCGTGGGAGGGCATGCGGCAGACGGTATCCGTACAGGTACCAGGGTGGGCGGCGCACGGATCCGTGGTGTGGCTACGACGCGAACATTGCCTGAGCCTAGCCCGCACACCACCTGAGGTTAGGCCCAAGGGCAAACGGAAGCGTCCTGCAAGTGTCACCCGACAGTCGCAGTAAGAACCTTGCGGCAATGGCTGCGTGGTTTGGGATTTAGGGTTTTAGGGTTTAGGGTTTCAGGGTTTTAGGGTTTAGGGCTTTAGGGCTTTAGGGGTTTTAGTAGTTTTGGGGTTTTGGAGTTTAGGGTTTAGGGCTCTTTATTATGATTAGTGTACTATAGCCCAACTCCAATTATGAAGGCCCCTACATTAGTCTTTATCTCGGCCCCAAGCCGTGACAACCTGGAATGTGCAGTTGCGTCGGCCATCTTGGTCATATAGTTGGTGTTGTTTGATGTTGTTCGCGCTAGCTTCTGGAGTTCTGGAGCAACAAGCACCAGTCGGACCCTGTGCTTCGTGCGGAGCTAGCTGCAGCAGGCTGTCGTCGGCACGAGGGCCCCAGGCCAAATGTCAAACACTGATTGTGGTCACGACAAAATTCCTGATTTCAAAGGCTCCTGTAGCAACTTCAAAAAGCCTAGGTGGCGCTTTCGTGCATGATTCTCCCGGCCTCCTTGTTGTCGTACAGGCTTAGAGTGCCAATGGAGAACTTAAGGCCTTGTGGCCTCAAAATATAGCAAATAATTGGTCCATCTATGATAGCTTGAACTTCTTTGGGACCGGTTCTTGAAGAAGAGAGCAGACTGTGCGCCCCGGTAGCTTGAGGTCCTTTACTCTGTGGCCGCTGTAGGTTCAGGGTTTAGGGTGTATAGGGTTCAGCTCGCGTGCGTGTGAGCATGCGTAGTCAGATATAATCTGCATCCAATGCAGTATGAGCATGTGTGAGGTAGTTCTTTTATTTGCACAACCATGTTTTTCCACATCCGAAATACAACTTTTATGTCGGAACCCCAGTAGGTAAACACACCTAAAGCGTAAGCCCGAATACCGTGGACCTTCAGAATAGTTAGAGCTCTCAGTTGCTCACATCGATGCCTTTCCTCGGTTCAAGCCGGGCTTGGCACAACGCCGAGGGGAGCAACTGGCCAGTGAATTGAGCATCATCTTCTATCGTAGCAGTAAAGCTATCCAGATCTCCAACATGCGGAATCATGACATCTGTAATTCAGAACCTGTTCGTGCACTTTGTCTATCTATTCTGGGCTTGGGGCGTTCCCTTGGCGTGAGTTTTTGTAGAGACCATTCGCTGCTTGCATCTCCTGCCAGAGGCCTCAGAGACGCAGCCCGCTTCTGCGGGGTTGGGGGGTTTCGGATTTAGGGTTTAGGGTTTAGGGTACTCGTAGGTGTCACCATACAGTCTTGCTAGCCCTAAGCCCTACAACCTGCATTTTGTTGTAGAGTGGGTCCAGCTCTGGAGCAGCCACAAAGGGAAGTAGGCCGATCCTGCCGAGCTATACAACTTCAGCCGCCTGTCTTCGATCATGGAACAACAGGACTAAAGCCCTAAGGCCCATCGTACGCTTCCCAACAAGCCGGTGTGACATAGGGGCCTAAGTAATTCCCTATATTACTTTGGGGGCTCCCTATTATAGCGATCGTATAATATACCCCCCAAACCCTATTTCAATTATTAAGGCCCCGAAACCCTAAGCCCTTAGAGTAGCCCTTAAAGAACCCTTTCAGGAACCCTTTAAAGGAACCCCAAAACCCTACTCTAAAACTCTAAAACCCTAAACCCTA